TGTTAGAACCCTCGTATAGTGACAATTATTACAAAATTATCTTGTTCAAGAACACATGACCAAAAAAATGCATCCCAGTACACTGAAATTATACCGGAAAATTTTTTTTTTTACTATACATTTGTATGACCTTGTCGCTGTAGTGAAAACCTGCTGGAGCCAATAAAACATGTTTCACCTGAAAAATGCATCATGAAAAGATTCATTTTAATAGAGTTTTACTCTTTGCCTCTTACTCAATGAAATCATCAATCCGCATTCGGCAATAAAGCAGGAAAAAATACATGTGTACAATTTCAGGTCTGTGATTGGCCAGCAAACGCTGGCTGTACTGCGGGTCAAAATCCATCCACTGAAGCACCAGGTGAAGAGGTTACAGAACCACACCAGGAAGAAACAACAACTGAAGCTGCCAATGAAGCCACCACAGTTGTCAATGAAGAAGAACAGACCACTGTGGCGGGAGAAGATGAAGTGACCACTGAGGCTGGAGAAGAAGAGGTGACCACTGTGGCTGCTGGAGAAGAGACCACTGTGGTTGAAGATGAGCTCACAACCCAGGCTGAAGAAGCTACTACCACTGAGGCTGCAGTGAGTGAGGAAGAAACTGAAGCACCAGTTGAGGAAGAGAATACATGCCCAGCAACTGGCACTGCCATTTTGCCAAACCCTGAGGACTGTGCCAGTTTCTTTGTCTGTGATGCTGGTGAGTCTTTCCTGGTGACCTGCCCAGCAGGCAAGGCATTCAGTGCTCGCTATTCATCTTGTGTGGAGGCTGCTCAGGATGGCTGCACTCCAGCAACTGAAGCCCCTGTGGTAAGATTCCTTCTTTTCTTCATTCTATTATTCATAATCACTTGAATCAATACTTGCCTAGAAGAGGTATATACAGCAGTACAGGTTGTGCCCTGAAATTCAGCCCTAATCCATTGCTGTACTTTCATCAAATTTTTACAATCACATTGCAAGACAATGACAAATGCAATGTTTTCTACATTGTATTTAACCTTTTGTGTGTCTGTTTGTGTCAAATTGTGGGGCAGAGGCCAAATTTCAAGTTGACCTTGCAACAAATGCATTGTAAGGTACCACCTGTACAGTTCCTGTGAACCTTTTTAAAATTTGAAACTGTTGCACAATTCTCAAATGTTGCTCTCAGAAGGTACAAAATATGTCAGCTTCCTGTAATTTTTCATATAACTACAGTAGAAGAATTTGCCACATATGCGCCAGAAGATCATGTGGAATGGTTTGCTTGTCCCTTATTTGATAAAGCTGAAATATTATAGGTAAAATTGAGGCCTTGTTACCCACTTTTAAGGATTTTCAATCTTCCCATGTAAGGGGGATACACACTTTTGTATGAAAAAGAATGAAGTAAATATGTTTAAAAATGGTTCCTAAATAGAGGAAACTGTGTGCCCAAATAAAGGATGACGGCATTTGCATCATTTGTGACAAATCCAATTGTGGGATGGAAAAAAGAACAGTGGTTGTGTCATGGAATAAAAAATTCAAACTTCGAAGTATCATGCATGTGTAGATGAAAAGCAATAATTGCTTTTCATGAAAGTGTTTGAATTTTCTAGTGGAATGCAGGAATTGAGTTTCAAAGAGATTCTGTGGTCCAAAGGAGAGGAGGCAAAGTAAAATTTGACCTGCTGTTTCATATAAATTTTTGAGAAGCTTTTGGAATTTTGAATGTTTTTAGAATTACTCAAGGTTCTTTGATATAGCTAGAAGTTTCTGATATTTAGCTGCACAAGGAAAATTGTTGTTCTTTTGGCCAAATAGATTACTTGATATATTTATCTGATTTCCATGCACCATAGCTTCAAGATGCTTCATGAGCAACTAAGAGCAATTTTGTAGATAAAGAAATGGCAAAGAATCTATACCAGATTGCATGAAAAATTATTTATTGTTCAGGTCA